GTGTGTGTGTGTGATCCAAACTCACCGTTGACGTTGAACCACTGACGGCCTCACACACAGACACAGACACAGACACTCGACGACGTCCTCCGATTGTCACTCGTCTCCCGCCCTGAGTGCGGGCTTTAAACAGCACTGCTGCTGCTGCTGCAGGGGGAGGAGGGGGGAGAGGAGGGGGAGGAGCTTGTCCAACGACCTCTCTCTCTCTCTCTCTCTCTCTCTTCATCTACGACGTGGCCCTGTTGGTGCGGGACTCAGTTCTCTGGTTGTTGTTTTCTTCGCGCTGCTGCTTCGATCATTTTCGGTGACACAAACTCAAATTGCATTGTGGGAGTTTTTAGACCTACACATGTATTACTAAATCATCTCAGGCTCTTGCAGGTCATCAAAAAAGTGTACTTCAAGTCAACACAGTACTGCAGTGATGGCAGTACTATCAACTAAAAACAATAATGAACTTTATTTCAATAACAAACGATGAGACCGACGTAGAAACAGGATTTTATTTCACATTAATCCCACCCTCATCAGTGGATGGTCCACCATCACCAAAAAAATAAAACAAACTTAAACCTTTTTTTTTGTATTTTTTACAAAATACAATTAATTTGTTAAAAACATTTTACAGCATCATTCATGTATAAAGGTGCTTTTACTGTCACATTAAAAACCTGACTCTGAGGTCAGGTCAGGTCAGGTCAGGTCGGGTCGGGTCGGGTCGGGTCAGGTCAGGCTCAGACTGGACCTGGTCCGACTGACGTGGACTGACAGTCAGCTTCCACAGCTCCTGCAGGAGTTCAGAGAAAAATAACAGAACGTTTATTACAGTTTGTAACTCCTGCCTCCCCCCCTTCCTCCCTCACTCCCTCCCTTATCTCAGAGGGTAAGTTAACACCCTGAACAGTTCTCCAGTCCATCATAGGGTCGACCTCTGTCCTTGTACAAACATCTGTACTTTCTCCTCTCGTCTCTTACCAGTTGCTCTACTCGCTCGTACAGAAAGAACTGTGCCAGGTTGGCCGTGGGCAGCTGTTCGACTCTGAAGCTGCAGCGCGGCTCCTGCAGCTCCAGCAGCTGGGACAGACAGCGTCTGAAGTAGCTGTAGGCCTCGCAGCAGACGTCCATGTGTCGCAGGGAGAAGTTCATCCTGAGGCGGGGAAACAAACACAAAAAACAAAAATGAAAACAGAATATGAAAAGTGTCCGGGTGGCTAAACATAAGGTCCACAAACACCAGGCCTGGAACCAGACCTCAGAGAAAACACAAAGAACATAAAACTATTTGTATTTTTCTCCCGCTCTTCATCACCGAGGGCGCCACCTGTGGCTGTCGTCCTCACCGTTTCTCCAGGGAGAGGAGGACGGTGCAGGTGTGAGTGAAGTTCCTGCAGAGTCGGTACAAAATCCGGAAAAGTCCGTCAGTCAGGTCTTCATCGTAAATCACTGTGAACACGGAGCAGAGAAGATGGTCACGCTCCACGACCATCGAGACCTCGGCTGACCCGTGACCTTTGGCCTGTAGTTTACAACTGCGACCTACCATCAGCGGCGATGATGAAGTGAGTGTTGTCGTACAAATCCGCCACTTCCTCCTCCGTCCAGCTGAAGTCCACGTCGGCGTCTGCAGAGGGAGGGGGAGGAGTTAGGACTGAGACGGACGCACAGAGAGAGTGTGTGTGAGTGTGTGTGTGTGTATATGTGTGTGTGTGTTACCTGTACAGAGGGAATACTGCAGCCAGTCCAGCTGCTTCACCTTCACCTCCCCACCTCACATGACAAGAAAGATTGAAGAGAACTACAGTACAGTACAGACCAGGGGTGGCCCCAAAATGAGGTTCAAAAGAGACATCACAGAAGAAAGATTGAAGAGAAGGGGTGGCCCCAAAATGAGGTTCAAAATGTGACTCGCGGCCCGGTTCAGTATTGGTAAGATGTAGGATACTGGGCGGAATAATTTAAATAGAATTTACAAGAAAAAAAATCTCAAAAATAATTTGGTACATTTGACGTCTGCTGCCCTCTAGCGGCAACAACAGAGATTGCAGTTGATTCGTTGTAATGTATGAAACAGGAGGATCGGGTTGTTACAAACACCATCAGATGAACAACAACCAGTTTTCTCTCTACTGTTCCCTCTCACTGGCCCCCTCTGGAGGTTCTCCGCAGACCTACACCTGCTGTAGATGTAAATGAAGGACAACATGATGTTTGTGACAGAGAGTTTTCCCTCTCTCCCCCGTTTCCTCACCTCCATTTTTAGTCATGTGTCTGTTCACGGAGACGTTTCTCTCACACATGCTGAGGAGATCGTCGCCCACGTCTGTGAAGCCACACGGGAAAAAAAGAACATCGATCATCGTGTCAAAGGAACAAGTGCATTAATCATCATAATTAACATCATCATCGTCGTCAACAGTCGACTCAATATAATGAATATATTTAGCATATTCATGTTTTTTAATAATAATATATTTTATATATTAATGTTGAAAAGACGATAAAAATATCAATGAAAATCCAATGAAAGTCTTATGTGAAAAAACTGGATTTCCTTCAATCAGGTTCATTGTTTTTTTGTTTAAACGGCTGAATTCAGAATAATCTGGAATATTCATCATCACACCTGTGCAGTACACCGTTTTGGCAACGGTTGCCATGACGATGCTGGTGAAACCCATGCCTGCCCCCAGCTCCAGGACCGTAGCTCCTCGGAACATGTCGGCCTCAGACAGGATGAAGTCGGCCAATAGGAACGCTCCTCTCCACACCTGCTCCACACACACAGACAGACAGTCACATGACACGCAGTACAGTCACATGACACGCAGTAACCTCAGTAAACCTGGAGCTCCACCGACCACAGATGTGTCTGACAGTTGGAGCAGCAGGAACATCATGATGATTGGTTTGTTTTTATTATTATTATTACTACACTGTGGAGACTCGAGCCACAGACGCAACCTGGTCAGTGAGCCACAGACATGTTAACCCACCTGTTTCCCAACATCCTCCAGGGGCGTGGCCATGGTGTGTTCTGGAAAACAGAAACACAAACATGTTCAATAATGGAGTGTGGTGATTGACACTTCTGATTCAGGAGTGAAATTAGGACAACATTATTATTATTATTTATTATTATGTGATTTGGTTCTAGGTATCAGTCAAAAAAGGCTTTAGTCACATGACTATTTCTCTCAAATCAAAGGGTGAGATAAGTGGCACATAAACAGTGAACGCCGGCTGTTACCGATTCTTATCACATCTCCGACCCTCTGGTCTTCTTTATCATCTGAAGACTCTTCCTCCTCCTCCTCCTCCTCATCCTCCTCCTCCAGCACAGGAGCGGAGCGTGCGAGAAGGACAGGACAGACCAGGTCTCGACCTATGACCTTGGCAGGGCGTGTCGTTGGACTGAGGAGGAGCACAGATCATTTACATCTCCTGACCTTCTGCCCCGACCTCAGAGTGAATTTACAAACTGAACTGAAATCTGTTTCCAAACCGATGTGTGATGTCCAGGTCTCCGTCCTCGTCCAGGTGGAGACCCTGTTTGTCCTCCTCTCCGTCTTCATCCCGGTCCCTGTCGGAGTCTTCGTCCTGTTCCCCGTGCGGATGGATTAATTTCTGCTGCGCTGACCTCTGACCTGCGTCACCGCTGCTGTGTGTTTCAACGTCTTTCAAGAGCTTGAATTTGGAGATAAAAACTAAAAAACACAGAAAAGAAAACAACGGGTTTGAACACAGGCTCCAAACGTCACCACGGAGACTTTTCAACAAATAAATATCCATTACTTTGGTCTGGAGTGTTTTTTTTTTTAAATTGATAATTTTTTTTTTTTTGACACAGGTCAATGTACAACATTTGTAAATTTCTGAAAGAGTTTGACACCCTGATATAGGATTCAGAAAGAGTTTGACACCCTGATATAGGATTAAGTATATGGTTCCACTGGGACTTGAACCTTGAACCTTCTGCGTGTAAAGCAGTATGGCACCACTATACGGACATTTAGATTTCTATCAAATATCTGGACTTTAAGTCGTTTTATTCTATTCTGAGGCCAGTGCAACAGAGTGGACTCTCAAGCACCGTGTCGCCACCTACTGTTCACCGGACAGGTGACAGTACCCACCTGGCTGCCCCACGTGGTTCAGTCGTGTCATAAGGTGACGCGCATTGGGCAGAAGTATGTGGACGTCTGACAGCACGGTGTCGTAGCGGAAAGTGAACTGGTCCATGTCTGGTCAGACACGGTCAGAAGAGCAGGACTGGTCCAGCACCTGGTACCAGAACCTGCAGAGACTGGACAGACACCAGGACACGTTTATAAAGATGTAGAAGAATTGATGAATCAGCAGAAGTCACGTGTTACAAAAAAAAAGAAGCAAAAAGCAAAACAAACAACGATCTATTTACGTGTCGTCTGTCAGGATTTCTACCAAGTTTATAAATGTACTTCCACTCAGCTGCCACACGGTGGCAGCACCGTTATATTGCAGTTGGTAGTGTTTCTGATGTAACGTCATATACGTTTGTTCAAATAAAGTCTCCAACATCTGAAGGAGAACGTTTGAAGATGGAAGTGTAAAAAAAAAAAAAAAAAAAATAGTCTCCAACATCTGAAGGGGAACGTTTGATGATGGAAGTGTAAAAAAAAAAATCCACTCCACAGAAGAGTGTTGGTGTGAGGGAGGAGTGACAGAAGTCCTCGACCTGGAGGAGCCGTCAGTCCACAACTTTCCTCCGCCTTGTTTGTTCACTACAACGACCCTCGTTTCAGGTGTTGGACCAGTCTGAGGTTAAACACCAGAATTTTTCAGTTCGAAGTGAATCAGACTGACGACTCTGGACAAGACGAGGTCAGAGGAGGTGTTGTCAACAACCGCTGCTGTGTTCACGTCACGCCCACACGATATAAAGACCGAACGGAACCGAGACATGGTTTAACTTTGTTAAAAACCAAAACCTGAGGGAAATGTTAGCTTAGCTTAGCTTAGTGGATGTGTGTACGCGATCTGTAAAAAAAACGCCCTTTAATCCCAGATTAAACACACAGACACAGACACACACTCTCTATCTCTCGCTCTCTCTCTCTCTCTCTGTTGGTACCTGCGCAGCTGCGTCTCCGATGTCCGCTGACGTCCAACAGTCTGACTCTGTGATTCCCCCCGACGACGACACCATGACTGACGGTTGACAGCTGAATGTGCGCGCGCGCGCACACACACACACACACAAGCGCGAACACGTACAGCTCTGTAATAGTTTTCGCAGCTAACACCGGTCCGTCGAGTCAAACTGGTGCAATGACAAACGCGTCCGATCAGCAACACGTGACGTTTTTTTTTTGGTTCCGCCCCTGAAAGGGCGGTAAAAAATTAGATAACAAAAATATATTTATGAGTGCCACGTGGTGGCGCTGTGGTTAGCATTTGTATAAGTAAGTGTGTGTGAAAGAAATGCAGAATTGTATGGTTGGAATTATACTTTATTCCAGAGAGTTTAGAGAGATAAAGGGTCAAAGGTCAGAGTTAATACATTGATATGACGCGGTGCAATGACACGATGATGACACGAAGGCTCAGCAGTGACAGAACGAACCACAGAGTTCCTGTAACTGATTGTTCTTTTAAATCCTGGAGGTGAACTCTGCTCGTCTGACCAGGGATCTGTTCACCTCCGACACGGAGCGACAGCCTGGACACACAAACACAACATAAAAAAACCAAAAAAAAAAACAGTCAGTAGTAGGTGTGTGTGTGTGTGTGTGTGTGTTACCTGACAGAGCCATGGCGAGTCGCAGCTCCTCTTTTAAAAGTTCCAGAACTTCAGTCACTCCCTTTTCTCCCTGGACATAAAATAAAAACAAAACAATATTGAAAATAATAATAATAATAATAATAATAAAGGTCTGGCTCGGGGGTCACCTGACAGGCCAGGCCCCACAGCACTGGTCGACCAATGAACACAGCCTTGGCGCCCAGAGCTAAGGCCTTCAGGACATCTGTCCCTCGTCTCACTCCTCCGTCCATGAAGACATCACAGCGTCCCTGCACCGCCTGCACCACCTCCTCCAGCACCTCCAGCTACACACACCACAACAACGATAACAACAACAACAACAACAACAACAACGACACCTGTTACCGTCTGTTTATCTGGGAGACACAAAGACGAGAAAAGACACAGACCGTGGCGGGAACGCCGTCTAACTGCCGAGCTCCGTGATTGGACACCAGGATGCCGCTGACACCGTGGTTCACGGCCTGCACCGCGTCCTCACCTGGGAACACAGGTCAAACCGAAGGTCAAACCGACTGTCTGTCAGGGCTGGGACGTTTTTGTCATTTTTGTTTTTGTTCTTTTTACATTTTAATTTGAACTTTTGGAGACAGAAAGAAAATACATCTGTGTGTGTGTACTGTGTGTGTACTGTGTGTGTACTGTGTGTGTGTACCATTCATAATTCCTTTCACAATCACAGGCAGACGTGTGTGTTCCTTCAGCCAGCCGATGTCGTCCCAGGACAGGGTGGGGTCGATGGCTTTGGCAACGTAGACGGCCAGACCGCTGTCGTTACCGTAGTCGCCCTCGGAAAAGGCCAAGGACGCCGAGGTGAAGTTGGACATGCTACACACACACACACACACAGGTTCTTCAAGGTGGTTCTGGAAAGTTCTGGAGCCCCTGCCTCCCCCGTCTGCCCCTACCTGAGGTGGGAGGGCAGTTTGAAGCGGTTCCTCATGTCGTCCCACCTCCTGCCCAGGTAGGGGGTGTCCACGGTGACAAAGACGCCCCCGTAGCCCGCCTGCTCCGCGCGTCTCACCAGAGACAGCGTCAGCTCTCTGTCCTTATAGATGTACAGCTGCAGCCACAGCACGCCTCCATCGCCTGCTGATGATGTCATCGCTGACATCACTTCCTCTATAGTGGAGGTGGCCCAGGAGCTCAGCATCATCCCTGTTCCCACTGCTCTGCATGCTGGGTAAAAAATGTTTTTTGTTTTAATACCATCAACAGATTCTCTTCTTCTCCCCCTCGGACCCCCCTCTATGTCCCCTATTCCGCCACACAGTGGACAGACAGTGAAACACATTCTTAATTTTTTTTTTTTTAAATTCAAAGAAAAAAAAAACCAAAGTTCAACTGTATATTTTCAGACGTTATACTGTGTAACTATTTACTACAGTTTTTCATTTTTATTATTTTTAATTAATTACTTAATTAATCATGTTTGTTAATATTTAATTTTACATGCATATCAATGTATTTTAAAGACATTTAATGTCATCTCTTCATATCCATGTATTTTAAAGACATTTAATGTCATCAATTATTTATAAATAATTCCACCGAACACCCGGCGCTGTGGCTTAGTTGGTTAAAGCGCCTGTCTAGTAAACAGGAGATCCTGGGTTCGAATCCCAGCAGTGCCTTCGCAACGGGAGCGGAACTTTTCCCTATTCAACCAGTCCCTCTTGGTGATTGGTGGGTGATATTTTTCACTCTCTCTCTCTCTCTCTGTGTGTGTGTCTCTCTACCTCTGGCCGTCGCCGTCTCCCCCTCGGGGTGAGCCATCCTCTGCATGGCTGTGGCTGCGACACAGACAGGCATACTGACCCTCTGACCCAGGACGGACACAGACAGGTCCACGGTGGACACATCTCTCAACACACGAGGGATCAGATGCCACCTGCACACGCACACACACACACACACACACACGAACGTACCGCAGGCTGTTGCTCTATAGGTGTGTGTGAGGGGGCGGGGCTTAGGTGGGAGAACGAGTTTTCTGTGCATTAAATTCGGATGTTTTAGAACTGGAAAAATAATGTGACTCATCAAATATATTCAGTTGTTTAAACAGAAGCTGCGGGGGGCGCTAAAGAGACGTTTCTGGTGCTCACCTGTAAGTTTGAGCTGCAGTAAAAAAAAAGTACCGTAAAAGTTTCAGGTGCGCACCGGAAATGCTTTTTTTTTTCGCCCCATGTTTCTTTAGGGGCGCCGTCATAAACTGTTTGAGAAAGTTTGTTTGGAGTGTGTGTGTGTCAGTGTGTGTGTGTGTGTGTGTGTGTGTGTGCGGTACCTGTTGAAGGCTGCCTGGTTCTCGGCCAGTGTGTGTTGCTCCTCGGCTCCAGATCGATAATAATCATACACAGCTTTGGGAAGAACTTTTCTGGCTTCAACCTCAAAGTCAGACACACACACACGCTGACCGGACATTTTCACCACCGTCTCTCTCTCTCTCTCTCTCACTCACACACACAGTGTGTGTGTTTATGTCTCAGGGTACCCTCAGGTGTGTAATCATTAACCAGTCAGCAGGGGGAGTGTCTGCTCCACTTCATGCAAACACGTTTCTCTAATCGTCTGATATGTAAAGGGACAGTTCACGTTTTTCCCCCAGAGGTCCCTGTAACAAAGTCGATTAAAAAATTTAAAAAAAACAATATTTTCCCAGAAGCTCCTGCTTCATTCACGGACCTTTAACCAGGTTTGTTAAATTATAATGAAATCATGAGTGATCAAAGTGTCAGTGGAGGAGCAGTTACTGTATATCTGCAGAGCTTCTCAAACGCTGGCCCCTGGACCAGGATTGGGCCACAGGTCATTCAGTATCAGGCCTCAAGGAGAATGTTTTTTTTAAACATGTGTTTAACAATGTTTAATTAAAAAAAAAAAAAGACCAGATTGTCATCACTGATTTAAATCTACAGACACCAGTGAACGTTCAAACTCCACATCATGAGGCCACAGTGCTAACCACTGCACCACCATGTGGTTTAATCCTATTAATTCCTCTAATCATCACGTAATGTAATGTAAAAAATAAAAAAAATAGGACACCTTCTCTAAGTTCCATGTTTATTTGGCATTCAACAAAATCCACTAAAAGCTTCAAGAATTAACAGTTTGCACCTTCACCAAAAACATAATAATTCCCACTAAAAATGTAAAACTAGAACGTCAGGACTTAATAAAATACAAGCAGTGAGAGAAGAGGTGAGGTGAAGTCAACAGAGAGTAAAAGGAGGCAGGAGTGACGCCACCCGGCAGCCGTGTGACCACAGGCCCGCACCTCCAGCAGGTGGAGATGAGGAGTCACACCGAGGCCACTCCTCCTGCTCCTCCGCCTTCACAGAACCTGTGGTCCGGATCCACACGACCAAAAACAAAGTCCACGTCACCCCCTTCGTCACTTCTCACGTAAAGTTCAGTTTCAATAAGATTCATTTCTGCGGCCGTTTCTCCCGACCCCACGTTGGGTCGGGTGAAGGAGTCAAGAATGATGTCCAACCACCGTTCTCCTCACTTCCTCCTCAGCCCCGTCGCCCGCGGCCGTTCAGAATCACAACAAGGAAAAGGTCATGAAAAAAGAAGTGTGGCTACGTGAACGCATTGTTCATCCCAGTGTCCCCTCCCCCCCCGTGAAGTCCCACCCACAGCCCGTCGGCCGTGTGCTTCGGGGGGGAAACGCTCATCACTTCCTGCTTCCACCTGGTCTCAGGTGACGGTTGGATCAACGACAGGAAACAGTGATGATTATGGGAACAACTTGATAGTGAGCTATGCAGGTGAGGGGGGAAGGCGTCACCAAGTTGAGGGGGAGGAGGCCTTCGCCTTCCTTCCCCCCCTCCCCACCCGGCGCCGCTTTGCTCGGTCAAACCCCAAAAAGGGAGGCGGGGCCCGCAGACCCACTAAGCGTGGCGTTAGCTGGATCGCCGGTGGTTGGGGGGGGGCGGATGCAGG